TTATTTGAATTTACCCTTTAAATAAATTTACATATATTGTGTTTCATAAGATTTTTCTGTATCAAAGAGTTAAACTTGAATTTTCGTTGATAAAATTCTAATTACATAAAACATACTAGATTAGAGTAGTTTTGTGTTTTATGAAGTTCATGATACATCCAATTCAGACATAATTTACTCACTTCAAACTTTCAAAGGCTTTACTTACCTTTGGGGGGCGGGGGGGGGGGGCGCTTTAACTTCACATTTACTTTTTGCCGGTCGTTGCAATGATATCAGTTTTGGTTGGAGCTTCACGGACGGTGGGATTATGTAATAAAACCTAAGAAAAACATCCTTAAGAAATATAAATAGGTTTACTAATGGAAAAAATAGCTAACTCATCCTTAAAGTGTCGGTGAGCTCTCAAGTTCCCTTTAAAGTATCAATTTGTTTATTTTACCTCTCAAGCTATGTTTCTAATTTCAATGTGGTCATTTTCTGATTTCAATGGGGTCATTTTATGAGTCTATAATCAAATATTTTACAGATCAATGATGTGACAATATTTTTTGTATGTTTTTATGGGTTTACTAATAAACAGAATAGCTAACTCATCCTTAAAGTGTTGGTGAGCTCTATAGTTCCCCCCTAAAGTATCAATTTATCTATTTTACCTCTTAAAAACTATGTTTCTGATTTCAATATGGTCATTTTAGGAGTCTATAATCAAATATTTTATAGATCAATGACGTGACAGCGCTTTTTATATGTTTTTATGGGTCTTAAATAGTTTATCAACTTTTTCCTCAAACTAAAAAATATATTTTTTAACCTTCTTATGAGTAAAATTAGGGGCTGTTTGGTTGTTTTCCGAAAAAAATCGGAAATGGAAATGTCACATTTCATTTGCTTTCATCACATTTCAAGACATTTCCCAGTTTTCTTTTTTTCTGTTTGTTTCGCAAAGAAATCACCCCATTTCACCGCCATGTCACACTAAAAACAAAAAAAGCCGCAATAGTAACAGTAGAATAGATTTCCATTTCTTGTGTTTGTTTGTGAACAAATAAAGAGAAATATAGGTCAGCCGCAATAGTAACAGTAAAATCAGCATTTAAATAATCTGTTTTATTCTCTTATACTATTTCAACAGTGCTTTTATTAATTAAAGATTCATAGAAGTGACATTTCCAAGTGTTTTCAGAGGTTTTTGGTGTGAAAACACATTTCTTAAAATTTGACATGGCATCCTACGTGGCATCCCCCTTTTCTTAAAACTCAAAATGAAACAAACATGTGAAATGGAAAACGGTTGAAACCAAAATCTGAGGTGGCAGGGGGGATTTCCTCAAAGGTGACATGGCGGGGGGGTTTCTCATTTTTTTTGGGCAAACAAACAGCCCCTTATAAAAAATATAAGAAATGCAAAAAACTGCCACGTCATTAGTCTATCAATATTTTAGTGTAGGCTCGCCAAATGATCACATTGAGAACATACACATAGTTTAAGGGGGAAAATAGTAAATTGATACTTTAGGAGACAATTTAAAAGTTAACCAATACTTTAAAGGAAAATAATAATAATAATAATAATAATAATAATAATATAGAAAGAACCAACTAAGGTTAGGAATAAAATGGATGAGTAGTGGATAAATCATCCTTTTCAATTGTTTGAAAAATGGTAAAATTATAATTTTATAAGGGATAATTTTTTCTGTTTTCAACTTTCTCCCTATATCTAGAACATTCTATGTAATTTAATAAAGAATGATGTGCTTTTCTTTTCTATGCACTTTCTTTCTAGAATATTCTATACCACTCAAATGCCATGAAATAAAAATAGAGCCTACATAATTGAATATCATTTTAATATTTTAAGTTAGTAAATATAAAATATAGAAAGAGAATACATGTGTGTGCGCCCACCTGCGCGTGTATATGTGTGTGTGAGACAAGGTTCTAAGCATGTATCTATACTACAATTTATTTACACTAATACACAAAGAAAATAATGAGGATGAAATAATTAATGGAGGATTTCAAGTTCAAATAATAAAGATAAAATCTCTCAGAAAATCAATTGACACTCACTATTTCCTCCAACTATAAAATATAAATTTTAAGTAAAATAAAAATAATATGTTTTCATATCACGTGCATTTGCACGTGTTAGATTTCTAGTAATAATAATCATACTTCCTTTAAAAGCACGAGTTCGGGAAAATTTTTTGGTAGACAAAAATACCCTTAAAATTTAAATACTAATCCATTAAGTAAGAGTAAATTGATAAATTAATGAATTCTTATTGGATATACATAGTATAAAGATTAAATTAAAATGTAAACCTGAATGAAATTATTAAATGTTAAATTTACAAATGTATACAAGATGAAGGGCATAAATGCAAAAACCAAACAAATTAACGAGACAAATAACTTATGCCCCAAAGGTCAAACCCAGGAACAACGCAGACCTATAAATGTACATAATATGGACGAGATATTTACAAAATCCACCAAACAAATTAAAGAGACAAGAGTTGTTCTCAAAATTATAAGAAAAGAAAATTAAAAAAAATATGCCTGTGATCTGAGGAAACAACGTGATGATCTCTCACCGACTAAAACTCAAGTAATTCACGATACTCCATAATTAGTTTTAAAATTTAATTATACTATTATTATTAAAATAGAACTCTATTTATAATTGTTATTTTTTCACATGCAACATCACATGCCAATATATATAGGCTAAGAAATTATAACAATTTTCATAGTACTTTCATCTTCTTCTATAGGTATGTGCCTTTGTTATTTTTCTTCTTATTATTAGATTAGATTATTTAAAGTAATTAATTATATTGTGTATTTATTTTTTTTCATATCAAGAAATAGCAATAATTTTCACAACACTTTCATCTATTTTCTTCTTATTTGATTAGATTAGATTAGATTAAAGTAATTAATTATATTGTATTTTGATTTTTTTAGATTAGAAATTATAATAATTTTCATAACAATTTCATCTTATTCAACAGGTATGTGCCTTTATTATTTTTTTCTTATTAGATTAACTTATTAAATTAGATTGTTTAAAAATTATGAATTATGAAATTGCAACAATTTTCACATTACTTTTATTTATTTTCTTCTTATTAGATTAGATCAGATTATTTTAAAATAATTAATTATATTGTACATTTTATCTTTTATTTTAGATCACGAAGTTTAATCATACTATTATTATTTAAATAGATATTATTTGTAAAAAAGTTAAAGAGAATCTCACATGTATTTTAGATGTCAATGTCAATTGTAATACTTACATATGTGTGTTAGTTAAAATAAATTTAATGCACGGGCTTAACTTATATAATCCTATTTTAACCGGATTAGATAATTTATTTTTTTACACCCAAACTCTTCCATAAAACCAAAAGAGAGTAGCAATACTACCTATATATATCCACATGATCACATATATCTCGAAAATAAACGAAGAAATCCACACAAACAAAAACATATTAATTACCCCCACACACTCCATGCTCTCAAAACCACCCTTCTTCATCTCTATATCCACATACCCAATTTAAGCTGTTGGAGTTTCCCCCTCACCAACTACACCATTGATCAACCATCCTTTTTTTTTCTTTGTACTTAAATTGTATATCATTCATTGTAATGATGACTCACCTGGATCCTCAGCCTTCCTTGAATGTCTAATAAAAAAGTAATGCACTAGGCCTAGTAGTTAGTTAATAATGAGATCCTATCATTATAAATAAATTAAGTAAATATTAATAATTCTTAAGAATATACTATGTTCCCCTAGCTTCCACTGCAAACTTATTAGTTGTTTAATCCTGGCCCCAGGAGATTTTCAAAATTAATCTTGTGGGTTGCTTGCATTAAAAAAGTTATGTTAGGGGCCCATACAATATGTTTTATAGTTTAAGATTGTCAACACATTTTATCTCTGATGCATATTAATTATGAGAATAATATAATTTGATTGATCCAAGTATATCCTAATATTTTTTTGGACTTTTGTCTTGTCTTTTGCTCTTTATTATATACCAACCTAATATCACAATTGATGTAAACGATGAATGCACTACTGTAGACTTGCCCAGGAAAGAGATAAAAGTGGAGAATGATTGATCTCAGCTCAATTAAATATGAAAAAAAGGAATAAAGGATAATAGTTTTTTTGAATATTTTATAGTAAAACTTAATTTTTTGAGTAAAATTAGAAATATTTAGAAGGAATTTTCATGCAAAATTTTTAAAATGCTTATGTGAATGATTTTGTCATATAAAATTATATTAGAGTCACCAGTAATCTTTAGTATTTATTTTTTTATATTTTAAGTCTATCAATAATTAAGATGTCTTGCGATCTTGTAAAAAGTATGTACTCTGTGCTGAGCTTATACAAACCATTTTAATATTAAGTATTTTGTTATATTTTATTAACACATCAACAATATATTATTGTATTTTTTCAAACTTAACACTACATTTAATGATTAAGATAAACAAATTAGAGATCGATGATTTAACCCGATAAACGAATATGTTACATGAAGTTTGATATATACAAATTTTAAAAAATAATGTTGTGTATGCAAGTATATAAAAATATATTGATCCCAGTTTACACATAGATATATTTCATAAAATTTTTTAAAAATATTTAAATAAAATGCGTGGCAAACGTAATAATCCATGTTTAAAGATTAGCTCAAGATGAATCTGACTTATTTTATAGTAAGAAAATAAATAAAAAATAAATAATTTTGATATTTAACTACGTGGATTGTACTGCACGCACGTGCATAAGAACTAGTAAATATAAGTAAAGAAGTCTCGCGTTCAATTTTCATCATCCATAATGACATGACAAGCCTCAATGATTAAGCGGAGGGTAATCTCAGAAACATTCCAATCAGTTACATCCTAACTGCAGTTTTAAGATGAAGACACCACATAACGCTCGTGATGAGAATCCATATTTTCATCTCCGACAGCTTTAAGAGCATTAAAAATCTACACAAAGGCCATAGAAACCATTCAGAACAAAGTTGATGAACAAATCAAACAAAATAAGGCGCAACAAGTTCACATTCATTAGCCACACAGTATCTGCTCAATGGTTGGATCTCATGAAAGCCTAAACTACATCACTTATTAGCAAAGCATAAGAGCATAGAAAGTCCAATATCCTAATAACAGCACGCACGTCGCTGCTCCAATCTGATAAGCATGGAGCTCGGAAGGAGGAAGAATCACTTGTGCATTTCAATCTTCTTGGGCAAATCCACCTTGTTAGCACCAACAACCTTGTCGATGATGGTACCTTCCTTCACAAACACAAAGGTCGGCATGGCTTCTATCGCCCAGTCCTGGGCCACAGTCTGTCATCGAACAAACAAACCAGTCAGAAAATACAAAAACAAAGACAACAAAGCCACCGTGCCCAAATTTTGGGGTCAACTACATGACTCATATTCTTCCGTTCAGTAAATCATTGGAAATGCTATTAGCCCCCAATTTTTATAAGTTGTTTCAAATTAATCACTCTAACTGCTACTTCGAGTCTCGATGGAAGGTACTAATTTCAAAATAACTTGAGGATTGGGAAACCTCATAGCAACTTCAATGATTTGAGGAGTAATTTCAAGATAACATAAGAATTGGGGGATCTGGTAACAATTTCAATGATTTGAGGAAATTTCAAAATTAATGAAATAATTTAACGGATTAATATCTCCCCCCCCCCACCCCCCCCCTTCCTTTTTAGGTGCCTCTTTTCATTCAGTTCTGTTAAGGGATATATCCTCTAGTCAGAAAACACAAATATTACCATGTCTTTGAATCCACAGGGAATAGTACATATTGGGTGCAAGGTTGTGATGATAAAGGACTCTTACCTTTAGCTCGTCGACGTCAACCTTGAGAAAGAGAACATCGGTGAACTTCTTAGCCAGTTCACTGACAATGGGTGCCATCATGCGGCATGGTCCACACCAACTAGCAGTGAAATCAACCACCACCTAAAGAAAAAAAGGTTGGCAGCATAAACCGGTTGGTGCCCTTGATCAGTATTTGAGACAAGATCTTGTAATAGAACAAAGGGAATCAACAACCACCTAAAGCAATATAAGAGTAACTTCTTTCTCAACATTTACACAAAAAAGATAGAACAAATACAAATACCACTTCAAAGTACGACACTCCCCAGATACTAACAAAATACTCCAATTTCCTAAAAGACCAAATGGTAGAGTTGGAAAAGATAAATGAAGTCACCAACACACAAATTTCTTAAAGATAAAATGGTAGAGAAAAATGAGAAAAGAAGTCACCAAAACACATCCCTTAAAAGATAAAATGGTAGAGGGAAAGGATAAAAGAGGTAAACAACATACACATGCACCACACACCACACGCACCCACTTATACATACACAAGCGCACACGCACAATACACATACATACATACCATCAGCCACCATTTGAATTAGAAAATTTGCAAATTGATCACCACTTCGCTTAGGCAATTTGCAAAATGCATAACAAGAAATCCAAGCAAACATTTGACATCTCAAGAATTGACCAATTCCAACAGCTGCTTATAGCATAGTAGGTTGACATAACTGTGCATAAATTTTAGAAATACAAGGTTCCATAGAATTAATTTTAAAAAAATAATTATCAAAAGGCAAAAGCCAAACTCCAGAAATTAGCAACCTGCAGGACATCCAGGAGATCAATCCAAAGAATAAGAACATAGAAGAAAACAGAAAATTCCAAGCATTATACAAGTCAAAACATTAGTTATATACAAATACAACTCACCAGGTCAATCCTACCATAGATAAAAGGGCACATAAGACTAAATGAAATGAATAGATAATTTTTAAACAAATGAGTAATTAACTCATTGCAAGTTGACAACATGTCAAGTTTATAGGCTAGTAAGAGAAGGGTAAATTACAAGAAATTCCCTTCGTCTATACGCAATTTTTCAAGTAGCCCCCACCTAAAACTTAAACAAAAAGACCCGTCATCTATGATCGTTAATGAAGCTATTAGTTTCGAATCGGAGATTAATTTTTTAGTAATCTAAACTTTGGGATGAATTCTAAGTTAATGCCAAAAAATTTGTTTTTTTTACTTTATTCAATAAAGCTTTCTCTGCTTTTCCTCATTTGAACTCCAAGAACCTATTGATTTCTTTTATTTATCACCCCTATTCAAAGTAGAATCCTATTTGTTTTTCTAAATCTTTGTCCATAGCAGGAATTCACATGAAGAAAATTTTGAAGTCACCGTCATAATGGGATTTTAAAGTGCAAACAAATGCTTAGACCTTTGAAAACAAAAGTTTATGAAACTCATTGTTTCATTAGCGGTCAAGATGAAGGGGTTTTGTTGAGTTTTTTAAGTTAGACACAATATAGATGAAGGGGTTTCTTGTAATTCCAAAAGAAAATATTAAACCTACAAAAAGATACCTAACAAACGCAATGGATAGGAGCGTTAAAGAGGCCAAGCAACAAAGATCTGCTCACTCTGACTAGTGATCAAATAATAAAAAGAGAGAAAAAGGAGAAAAGATGCCAAAATAAGCCCCACAACTTTCATTAACTCTAAACAATGTGGTGTTAGCTGCACATTTATTGTTGTCGGTGGCTAGAATAACTTGATAAAATTACTACAAATATATGAATGGGAATCTTGAAAAGTATCATTAGATGGAATACTGCTCAACTGCATACTTTACGCTACCAATAACTTCTACCAAATTGCAGTATGCAGATATTGAAACGTTAATTCACGCAGTTAAGCGATAAAATGATTTCCTACCAGCAATCAACACCAATAATCAAGTTTCTATCAATTATATGTAAAAATGTACAGAATTTAATAACATTGTTCAATACGTATAAGGGGCTTATAGACTCCAAAAGAGGGTTCTTTATTTATTAACAGTCTATCAAATACGAAAAATATCAGCACATAATTAAAAATCCAAAAATTAGAATCAAATAATTTCTTCAAATCTAAGCACCAGATCAAACCTACTACTTTTGCTTTGGATTTGTATCCCTAGAATTTAAAAATATTTTTTTTCCTACATTTTTTTTTTTCTTAAATCTGAGAGATACCCATCATCTAGATCAAGCAAATAAATGAGAAAAAGTCCAAAAAAATTTAAAAAAAAAAGTTTAGGGTTTGGGATCGTTACGAGCTTCTTAGATTGATTGGCCTGCTCGAGTTGCTGAGTCCATTCTTGAACACTGTGGCATGCGATCACAGCTTCCGCCATTTATCCTCTCTCTCTCTCTTTCTCAAGCTCAACCAACCGAATCGATAAAGATTGAATTGGGTTTGTAATTACGATGATTTTTAGGATACGCTACCCTTACCTTTATAGAGCCGAATTCGGAATTCTAATTACGGAAATGCCATTAAGAGATGCGTGTCACGTCGGTCGTCCACTCTTGTTGATGGACGGCTGCATTTGATTCGCCGTGCAAATAACTATAACCCCCTCAATTTAGGGAGTTTTGCACATAACCCCCTTGACGTTTCTTAACTCACAAAATCTTCTTGGACTTCGGGATGTCTCGCAAAACCCCCTGAAGTTTAAACTTGGTCACCTGGTCCTTATAAGTAGTAAAATATGCTTTAAGAGAAGAACTTTCAATTTAGCTATTTGCTATTGACAGACAATGTATTTCCTCTCAATTGAGAATGTCTCGCTAAAAGGTACTACTTATTTGCCTATTATATCTAATGTCTCTAATGAAAAAGGTTTAAAGTTCAAAGAAAGTTCATGAGACATTCCGATAGGGGTTTGTATCAAATTAAAAATTTAGGGTGTTATGTGAAAACTCTCTAAAGTTAAGGGTTTTTTTATTTAACCCTTTTTTATTCCTCACGCTCATTTGAACTTGTTATGCATGGTTTGGATTGCTTTTAACTTAACGTTTCCACATATAAAATTAACAACAGAGCACACCTTTTTCATAGAATTTTGTTCTCCACAAATTGTACAAGCTTTTTTTTACTATAACTTATTTGGTTACATGAAGAAATTATGTTATCCATTAACAAGGTGGGGGTGCTTTTGCAAGGAGTAAAGTTGGGGTAATTTTTGAAACATTCATCGTTAAAGAGGGCATGGAGGAGATTTTTTTGACCTATTAGGGGCAATTTGTCTTTTGGTCACATGTGGTGAAAAGCGCCTGATTGGTTAAAACGAACGATTAGTGTGTGAATCGTGGGATTCGGTGCTAAAAGTTCATGGCTATCTAGGGAGATTTTCGAAGTTTATGGTAGTTTTATTAGTGCAAAACCCCCCACGCTCATGCGTGTTTTGTAAAAGAAAAATGCATCAGGGACTTTAAAATAGGAGACCCTCAGTAGGACATGTGAGTTGTCGCCTCCCTGTCCCGTGATGCACTGTTCACGGGACATGGAGACGACATCTCACATGTCCCATACAGGAGTCCTTATTTTAGGGTCCATGTAGGAACACTCTTTGTAAAATTGATCCTTTATAAAGTTTATCAAGTTTATCCTTTTTTAAGACCATGAATGAATGCGGACAGTTTAAACGGAAGATACATCTTACTTTAGAGGTTTCAAAAGGGAGAAAAAAAAAGTGTAAGTTAAGGGTGGGTGGAGCCAAATTGCTTACAACCGCTTTATGAAGGGAACAAAAGTAGAAAACGAACTTTTTATGTGTGCTACTTCCCATCACTTTCAAGATCACTTTTAAAAACGAAGCATTTATTTCCAAAAAAAAAAGAATCCACCGTTATGCCACAGTTTTATTTTTCAAATGTTGCCATGTTGGGGTAGGGGGTGAGCAAGCGATCCATTCTGTCGGTTTTTTTTTATTTTAAACAAATCAGACTGCAAAATCAACCAGAACCGAATCAAATTGGTTTGGTGGGGTTCGGTTCGATTTGTTTTTGTTTGGGTATAGATATGTCAAAATTAAAAAAAAAAATTACCTTAAACACAACATTCTTACTTCTTCAAACATCTTATTCATCTTTACATCCCAAGCTAGAGAGGAAATTCACAAGATCAACTATTTTGCAAACTAAAATCAAACCTTTGGCAATTAATAATTATATGAATATATTAGTATGAATTATCTTTTTCCTAGAAAAAGCGAAAGTTTTTAAATAATTATTTTAAGATCAACCGGTTCGGTTATTTTGATTTCAAATATTTCAAAACTAAACCAAACCAAACCGCTTCTAAAACCAAACTGAACTACAAAAATTCAGTTAGTTCGCTCAATTTATTCAGCTTGCACTGATTAGTGCTCACCCCTACACTGGTTCTTACTATTTCATTTCCTTCTCAGCGTCTTTCATTCCAAAAGCAGTTCAAACCTAACTACTGCCTTACATAAGTCATACCAAACTCGCTAATTCTATTGATATCATAAGCGTAAGACATAAAAGTAAGAGACAAGTATACTAGTCCAAAAAAATTCTAAACTTTTGGGAACACGAATTGTTCAATGGACACGATCTGTTAAGTACATAAAAAATAAGATATAATTTGTTGTGCCTTATTGGTCTTCTTAGGGGCTGTTTGGTTGGTTTCTTTTGCCCCTGATTCCCTGCCAAAACTGACAGCTTTGACAGCTTTCTTGCCAAAACGCCATTTTTAGGGGCGTTTTGACAAGAAAGCTGCCAAAACTGATAGCAAGCTGTCAGTTTTGACAGGGAATCAAGGGCAAAAGAAGCAAAATAAACAGCCCCTTAATAGCTTTTGCTACATGAAATTGAATTCAAGTTCTCTTTTACTATCAAAGATAGTGAAAGATCACATCTTTCAATTAACTGAACGATTATACAAAACCGACGGATGTGGTAAGTATTTTATTTAAAGTGAATTGTAATTTTAGAAAAATATATGATTATGATTAAAAATAATGATATTTTTTGGGGGGTCAAACCATGACATGATAATGATGGCCTTCCATCTAATTCTCCAATTCAAAATTGATAACTTTGCGTGTAGACAGCTATCAGCAAAGATGCCAAAGATGCATCTTTTTTGGAGATGTAAAGTATTGTGTGTGCGCGTGTGCGTGTGCGTGTGCCCGTCTTTTTTTTTTTTTAGGGGGGAGGGTGGTTGTGCTATAGATTTCACGATCAAAAATTATTTTCAGCTTGGGATAAAAGCAATCAAAAGAGCAAATGACTTTTTCATTTGCCATTTTCTATCACTTTTCAAGATTACATGAAAAACAAACCACTTGCTCAGAATCATATATGATGAACAAAGAGCAACCTTACGCCACAAGTCTTCAAACACTGGCGGGGTTAACGGTCCACACCCTCCGACCCTGGGCGTGAAACTTGTTTAGATTCTCACGGAACCTTTTTAGATTAATTGAGTCATTGCAAAAATGAGAATGGTGTAATTTATTGAATCAAATCTGAATAATTAAGGTGAAGGAGCTTCTCTATCACATAACACTTATGGAAACTTGAGAGAAATATTTCAACAGGATAATTGTAGGACCCATATTGTCATATGGATCAAAATTTCAAACAAATAAGAGATGAAATGTGCAGAAAATGAACAAGGCAAGATGAGAATGTTTGAATAGATTTATAGATAGATACATATTAAGAGATGAGACAAAATATTAGTATGTTTCTTGGAATTCGAAATGTTGCTTCTTTGAGAATAAAATGAAAAGGAGCCGATTTCTTGTGATAGCTTAGTCATCCGGAATAGAGACCAATAGGAAAACAAATTATAGTAAGGAACAATAAGATTATAATTAATTGATAAAAGAGGACTAGACGGAGAACTAAGGCAAGTAAAACTAGTATGATGATAATTAACTTGATCTTAGTATTGTCGTTATACTGTGTTAGTATGCAATTTGAGAGTTAAACATGAAAGATTAGTTGCATTCACAATAATATTGATTTTCTAACAATATTTAGAGCATCTCCAACAGCTTCCCCATTTTATTGGTATTCTCAAATTTGGAGAATTTTGAGCTTTTTTTTGGTCCAACAGATTCCCCATCCCATTCCCCAAAATAGGGATGGAGGAGAAAAAAATAGAGAGTCTTCCCCAAATCTGCAGCATTCTGCAAATTTTTGGGGAAGCACTGTTTCACGTTCTTCGAGACTCAACACTCAAAAAACGACTCGATCTCCTCAAGCCTAATTGACAATATTTAGATGACTCTTTTTCAAGCCTAATTGACTTAAATATTGATATTTTTCAAAGATAATCATGGCAACTAAAAATTCCAATTTTATTCCTAAAATTTATTTTGGAATAAAATTGAGAATGACTAGTGACTACCATTTGGAAGGTAAAACATTAATTAGGTAATTATGATAACCTGAGGTGTGTACGCGTGGAAATTTGTTTGGGACGGCCGTATAGTCTAGTCATTTATAATGGATAGATTTCCCCAACTTCCGGATGATCTGTTTAAAATTGCATTAAAAATTTAAAAATTACAGAAACCCTCGAAACTTTAAAGAAATTACACTAATCACGTAAAATAGCTTTCCAAAATAGATCGAGAGATTCCTTTAAAAGGCCATGAAAATGATTTAAATTGGAACTAGGTTCATCAGACCCGTTGTGGTCGAATGACAAGTATATGACCCCTGTTAAACTCAGACAAGTTAGAGGGGACTTTCTCTAATTTTATTTTCATGTCGGTTTTTGGCAAAATCACTATAAATTCCAGAAAGTTTCCTAAGATTTCCGTGCTAATTTTATTCCATATACGTACGGGGATTGTTCCATGCTCAAATCATGTTGGGCTAAATTTTCAGATTGTTATTTTCTTTATCCCTCTTATAAGTTCGATTTTTTTTTTGGGTAATGTTTTGAATTTTTGAATTTAGAATGTATTACAATGATTGGAGGGATTGAAAAATCTTTTATTACCACTTAATTGGAGAGGATCTAAATCTGATACACTAATAACATCACATAAGGTTTGACGGCTTTTTATCAATCGGTGATGAAATTTTGAGTCTAATTGTATATTTAGCTTTTAAAAAAAAGCTGGAGTTGGAACAAATACGAAACTAGTAGGATGGTTAAAAACAGAAACAAATTTTCAAGGAATTGAAAAAGATTAGCGCGTCGGCGTTGACAATTTTATTCTGTACACACTGAATCAATCTCAGCCGTTCATCACCCATGGTTGACATCTGCCGTGACGTCTATCCATCCAATTGACACGTATCTCTTAATGGCATTCTTGTAATTTAATCCCTGAACCTGGCTATATAACAAGGAGGGGGTCGGTCCTAATAGCCATCGAAATTTGAACCTTTTTGCTTTTCGCCCAAATTTTAGTCTTTTCGATTTGATCGATTGAGAGAGAAAAGAAGAGAGAGAGAAAAGAGAAAATGGCGGAAGCTGTGATCGCTTGCCACACTGTTGAGGAGTGGAGTCAGCAATTTGAGCAGGCTAAGCAATCCAAGAATCTCGTAACGATCAAAACCCCTAAACCATTTTTTTTATTTTTTTTGGATTTTTCACAACTTTCCTTGCCATTTTGTTGATCTAGATTGCGGGCATCTCTTACTTTTTAAGAAGAATCAGTTTCTGATCATTATATATCATTCTGTTTAATAGTCAATTCTGCCAGTTTTATGATTTTGGGGATATCGATTGCGTGCGAACATTTTGTTTGTTTGTCGTGCTTAGATTTGAGGAAATTATTTTAATTCACTGCGTTTAATACTGTAGGAGCCCCTTTATTGGAATCTGTAATAAGTCCAGAACTTGAATGTGATACTTTCTTTATATTATTAGCAGTTGCTGAATATGAAATCCCCTGTCACTTGATGCATGAATTAACAAATTCGGTGTGTACAATTTTTGATTTGGTAGAAATTATTTATATTTCGCTACTGGCAGACAAAAAGTATAACAAGTATCTCCAAGTACATTTTCCCCATACTATTACTATGTGGTAATAGTAATTTCATCAATTAAGTTAGCCACTGACATGAACATTAAAGATATTAACACGGTTTGCTTTGAGTGCTCAGAAAGTGGTTTGATGTCAGGCTATTCTGTTGCCTTTTTCTTTTGTTTTTCTCTTTTATTTTTAGGCAAGTAGTGTGAACGTGTACTTTGTGCTGGGCCTCTCTTGTCATGTCTATTTCGTGCTTAGGATCTCTTTAGATCATCACATATGCACTTTTAAATTTTCTAAGTTGTTCTTTAATTTTTTATTTTTTTAGAATATTTATACATATCTAAGTTATCCGCTATCGATAACCTTGCATATTGCCCACTTGTATCGGCTCACCTGTTGTGAATTAATCTATTATTGGATTTAGTCACATGCACCTTCTATTCACAAAGGGATAAGGAAGGTGTATGCCTATTTTATGCTTGTAATTACTGTTTGATTTGTGTAGTACTTAGGGGTTTCTTGTCTTCTTCCATGTTACTGTCCTTTAGACTAGCCTTCTGGATATCTCGCTGCTTTCTGGAGTTTGTCGTGGACATTTTGTCTCGTAAATTGTTTTAAAAATTTTGGGTTAATTGCGCATAGCCCATGTAGTAAGCCCAATTGCGGGTAGACTTCTGTAGTTCTATTAGTATGGATAGACCCCCTGAGTGAACTTCTTTGACACTTTTAGTTATTCAAAAAAAAAAAAAAAAAAAAAAAATCC